GGAAAGATCACCGAAGTATCCCAAGATGAATCGCAACACACCCAACCACTCAAATCAGTGAAAACACAAGATTTGAAGCATCTACACTAGGGGAATATATATTAGTCTGTAGAGTTTTCCATCTAACGTGGGTGAGTGATAATCTACTTTGATTTTCGTTATAGGTACCTTGAGGGCAGTGGTTGGTGCCCACCTCAGGGTATCACTGCACTTGTCGAGCAATCGTTGATGCTTAACCATAATCGGGGTTAAAGTGGATTATCTCTCACAGTGTAATCAATTAAGGGATTTTGCAGACTGTTGAGGGCTCAACCTCTTGGTGAGTCGGTGAAACTCCGACAAAACAGTTTGTCACAGGGCCTCATTTGTTGTCCTTTTCGCCCTCTGTGCCTACGGTTTACCGCGCAACGCTGTTTGAAGATATATACCACGACTTCGCTAGCACCCTGCTACGATTTTCCTCAGTTGGGTCAAGCGGCAGTGGTCGAGGCCGTCACTACGCGGCCATACTATGCCTCTAGTGCCAGCGGTGTGTCTGGAGTGTATTTTTTGGCTGTGACATATCTTTCTCTGTTTCGTGGGTGTTTTGCTGGCTTGTGATGGGATGTGAACAGATAGTCTATAGAGTTCTCGATTTGGTGTGGGTGAGTGATAGTCTGCTTTGATTTTCGTCACCAGTACCTTGAGGGCAGTGGTTGGTGCCCACCTCAGGGTATCACTGCAATTGTCGGTCAGTCGTTGATGCTTAACCACAACTGAGGTTAAGGTGGATTATCGCGCACAGTGTAATGAGTTAGGGGATTCCGCAGACTGTTGAGGGTTCAACCTCCTGATGAGTCGGTGAAACTCCGACGAAACAGTTTGTCACAACCCCTCGTTTGTTGTCCTTTTCTCCCTCTCTGCCTACGGTTTACTGGGCAGCTCTGTTTGACGATATACATATATATATATATATATATATATATTTACCGGGCAGTTCTATTTGACGATATATATGTATATATATATATATATGAACCTTAATGAGTTGAGTATGAGATTTTGAGGCTCCTCTTGAGTGGCTTTACTCACTTATGAGAGTCTGGCCTTGGACTTGCTCACTCCGTTGTCAGGAGACCAGGGAAGGTGACTCCTGCTTACTGTCAAAGCCAGGTGCAACACGGCCTGTCACTCGGTGCACCCTCTTTGGAGGTCTTCTACAGCAAGACAGGTCGAAGGAGTTTAGATACCTGTCATGGTCTCTTTTAAAAGTTTGAACTCTTTTTTTTTTCAATCTTGAAAATGCAAAGCAGAGCTAACCAAGATAATTAAGTAGGACTTCCCTGCAAGTCTGAACTAACTGTTGGATTCAACAGTCAAGAGAAGCACACTAGAACACAGCTTAGCACGTGTACACTCCGATTTAAAAAGAAAAATAAAAAAACGAACTTAAGATTGATGGAGATTTCGTTGAGAACAACCATATGCTTAGGACCAACTTTGGAGTTAAGGTTTTCAAGGAAAACATCCTCACCCGGATCTGAACAAAAGTCGTGGAAGAAAGTTGTTACAGTCCCCTCTTTTGAACACCACTAGTCTACAGACCCCGCCTCGAAATAACCCTTTTCCAAGCCTTTGATCTGTTACCAATTTTCGTTAAGTGTAATTCCTTTTCTCCTAGTCCCGACAATCCCGTCCGGTTCCCTTTATCCATTTTTCTCACATGCTTCCTCCCAACTGTTCAGTCGCAAAAAAAAGATAAATGTTGAGTAGTTGATTGACCGACGACAAGACCGTAGTCGCATAAGGGGTTCTAGTTGAGGTGGAGAAATCTCCAGTTTACCAAAGCAGAATCCTTGGCGATGTCCGATAATCCGTGAGGTGTGCTAGGTATCCACGGAGATGGCACCTGGCGAGCATACAATTTTCTTATTCCGAGCATGCCCCACAAAGAGTACTGTTTCAGCTTCCCGGTCGAAACTTCTTTGTCACCTCACAGAACTTCGCCGAAACAGAAGCTGGATTGTTCCCCGCTTCTAACGTTCCTGGCTAGCTTTGACAATGGACTCAATCTGAAGGATACCTGGTAACTAGTCAAGATGCAGGGGAGCTCAGCGTCCAATGAAGTCTCCAGTAATCATGACACGTGATCTATGAACAGCATCCCGCATCTCCTAACCAACGGACAAGAAGAAACAAGGAAGAATAAACTTTTCAAGGGACAAAAAAATAAACACTCATTAGTGACCATAGAGATAGTAATCCCTCATATCCCTCTCCTTCTCCGGGCTTCTCCTCGCTTCGACGTGAACAATCATCATTCGAGAAACGAGTTGGGCAGGGTCTGGCCACTTCAGAATATCACGTGGCTCAGTTCTTCCAATGAAGACGTCCAGCAGACGCACAACTTCGTGACTAACAACTATTTGGGGTTCCATCTTTCTCAGTTGATCCACATATCCGGATTTTCCCTCCTTGTCCGTGCTAACTCATCAAAGAAGGCAGCGCAGTAGACGATATGTCAGTAGTGACGACTCAACATCAAGCGCCACGTCACCAACATTGAAGCCAGTGCGATAAGCGCCACATAGGGGCGCAGTAGTTCCGCGCCTTCGTCCACAATGCTAAATCACAGCCTTCGTTGGGTTCGTCCACCTCAGCTGATGATCTCCTTGACTCGCGTCCGTCACTCTATACACCATTCAAATCAGCATATCCTGACCACGCACCGAATGCCGCCCCTCCGTGGTTCAATCACCGATCTAGTACGATCTCAGAACTCCTCGTTCGCTGAGAACTTTTGTCCGTCCCGTTCCGGTGGCTCGCTTCCTTCTTCCTCCTGTTCTCTCTATCGTACCGCCAACCTACTTTGCAGCTCGTCTTCTTACACGAGAAGTGCTCACACGTTAGGTGGTGAGACGACAAGCGCGTAACCACTTCTACCTCTCATCCCCGTCGAGCTCCGACCAGAACCATATGACCGAGGCCGCACAATGTCCCACCTGAAATTCTCTCGATTACTTTCTCAACGATTGGGCGATCTGGTTTTCACTCGACGACAAAGTGCTTTACTATGTGCCTGCGTTCCATCGCCTCGTGTGGCAAGTTTGCGAGAGCGACCCCCCACCCATATGAGCGCACAAGTACGACTGAATTTTGTAACAACTGACCGTTAAAGCTCACGTATATACCGTTGTCTCCCATGACGAACTCACGAAACTCACCGAACTCTGCCATCAGGTCGTTGCACCGGGCTCTTGCGGCGAACTTACGAGAGTGGCCCTCTGCGCATGTGAATTTATAAGTATCACCGAGCTCTAATATCAGATCGTTGTTGCGCGCTCCTGCACGATTACCTCATGTCTTGATCTTACGAGAATGGCCCCCTGCACATGTGAACTTACGAGCGAACTCTGTGACAATAGATTGTTACAACACGCTCATGTGGATAATGTCTCTCGTCTTGAGCTTACGTGAGCGACCTTCTGCTCGTGTTAGCTCACGAGCCTCACCGAGCTCTTCAGTCTGATCATTATCACGCGTTCTTGCGCAATTCCCGCTAGCCTTGATCGCACGAGAATGACTCTCTGCACATGTGAACTTACGAGCGAACTATGTGACAACAGACCGTTACAACACGCTCGTTAGGCTCCCCTGGTCCGCTTTCTTCTCCTTACTCACCTCCTTCGCTCCCCACTCGGCTTTCCCCTTTGTCAAGTTTGTAGCAAGCCAAAGATCACCTCCTTCGTCCTGCTCTCGCCGCCTGTCTTCTCAGACGGTTACTCCCTTGCATGTGGGTTCATCATCGTCCAGGTGCACCCACAGAAAGATGGGCACGAACGCGCCCATCCCACCCTGCATGGCTACCCGTTGTACTGCTTTTTGCCCGAGCTCGTATTTGAGTAGGCTGTGGCTTGACTCTGATCAGCACGTAACTACCCAACCAGCGACGGGCGTAGTCAGCCCGAATCGTGATCGCTCGAGCACACGTCGTTCCCCGTGTACGCCTCTCTCCCCGAATGCCTTCCCCCGTCATGAATGAATCCTCCCCTTTTTTTGCTTAGGCTTTTTGGCCTGAGTCTGTTCACCAGTCCAGTCTCACCTTGACCGCTACTTAGCAAGCCACAACTCCCCTCTCCTCCAACTATTTGGTCTACAACTGCGCTGGTCTGGTCCCCAGTGATCGCAATGTTCCCTTATTGCCCGAGTACCCCCGACTCGAATTCTCCCCTGTTTTCTTCATAGTGGGCCAAGATCACGTGGTTAGCTGTAACCCCCCTTTTTCGACGGTAGCACTTCTTTTTGGTTTTGTCATCGACCTGGCATTTAAAGCCGATCTGGCTTGTTCTGTCCGTGCGTGACTTCTTCCTTTTGTCTCGGTACCTAGGATCACTTGAATAATAAATACATACAGTCCGCAAATGTCTGGTCTGATAAACGTGATCTGAATTTTTGGGGCCATTGACTGTGTGCGGTCTTTTAGCCCTTGTTCAAAGGAAGTATGTAGGTAGGGAACGCCACAAATTTGGCTAGTCATACCCGAGACATCACTGTCGATAATCCGATGTAGCGGCCAATGCCCTTACTCGCTATCGTTGCAGCCAGCACACATGATCCTGGATATAGTCGTGCGTCGATCTTGTCCCATGCCTCAAGTCATAGCCCAGGGTCTCACGCGCGGAACCAACCAGTAAGCCCATAAATGTCCTTATCTTATACATTGCCCAGTCAACTCATGCATAGTATAATCCAACAGTGGGTCACGCTAAAAAACGAAGGTCACATAGGGGTTAATAAAACATAGGAATCGAGGCATTTTGGTATGCAAACATTATCCCGACACAGAAATGGGGAATCAGTGAAATCTGAAAATTTTGTTTTCTTTTTCATTGTTCTTCTTCGTAATCAATGTTTCCTATACAACCCGAAAAATAAACCAAAAACGACCCTTGACTCACTACGTCAAAATTGGTTGCACGGAGCCTCGAGCATGCGGTCGAGGTCAAGCGCTATTGGCGATGCTTGTAGAGTCAAAATTGCCCCGTTATGGAGCTCCAGAAACAAAACAGGTCCATATGATATTTAGGATAATAAAAGTAGGTCTAGTATATATGACGACGGGAGCGAAAAACGATGCCTAGTCTGAATCCTTCATTCTTTTATCTCTCGTCTGTCGTATTGGCTGTCAAAATTTATCTCAATCATTAGGTGTGGCCCGTAATTCCCGCATTCCGGGAGGCTGACTGGATTTGGCCGCCTGACACCGTTTCCTCATATTGCTTGAAAGTACCCTCTTCGTGTAGTGAGATTGACCAAAAGTGTCACCATCTATCCTAAGATTGTTTGGAAGTCCCAAGGCCAAAGTGGTCACTTGATCCAAAGAAATCTGGTTGAATAGGTAAGGGAACCCAAGCAAGCCTTAGGGCCTTAGGGGCTCAATCCATACCACTTGAAACTAAAGTATTTTCAAGGAGCAAAAACGGTTTCGCCCCTTGAAACTCAAGGGCGCCAGATGCAAAATCGAATTCCACCTCAAGGGAGTCAGGAGATGACTGGAGTTTCAAGGGCGGAAACTAGCCACACTGCTTACCAAAACAGCAAGGGCGTGCCTGACCACATTGCTCACAAAAAATTATTCACATATAACACTTTATTTTATTTTTCC